TCAATGAAATTTTTCCAAGAGAAAAAGGAAGGGAAAGCAAATAAGAAGAGATTTTAGACATAGGCCAAAAACTTTTGAAATGGGCCGAAACCAACACTATCCAAAGATTAACCCAATAACTTTATTTTTTACGTAAATTTCACAATTTAAAATACATAAATATAATATAAAATTAAAACACGTAAGATATTATTTAAAATTTTAATAATTATTATATATAAATTAAATAAAATTAAAATATATAGTTTTTATATTTTTATATTAACAAATAAATTTTATGTAAAAGATAACACAAATGCATTAATAAAATTCAGTATTTTATGGTACACAAATTCAACTACGAAGTCTAATTCTATGCTATACAAGAATCCACCACCCTGTTATCCTCAATCTTGTTAATTTTCTCTACCTCTCTGAAAAATCCCCAAACTCTTCTCTCCATTTGCCTTTCTTTCTCATACAATTCTCAATGACCATAATCAATCTCCGCAAGGGAAACACCGGACTTCCCTCGGAAGTATTGGGATCTCTATATTCGAAACCTTCCATTCAACAAATCCAGCGAGGAGATGTATGATATCTTAAAAAAATATGAAGCCATTCACCATATATGCATTGGAACTAGCAAAGAAACACGCGACACCGCCTTCGTCATCTACGAGGACATGTACGATGCCAAAACGACGGTCGATCATCTCTCCAGTTTCAACGTCACTAATAGGTATTTGATTGTGTTGTACTATCAACAAGCCAAGATGAGCAAGAAATTTGATAAGAAGAAGAAGGAAGAAGAAATAGCTAGGATGCAAGAGAAATACGGTGTTTCTACTATAGATAAGTAATACATATGGGTTTTGTTCTTTTGATGATTTCAAATTTTAGGTTTTGTATGAACATTTGAATTAATGGCTTAATTTTAATCGTATATGTTTGCTACTTTATGTTTGTTTAACAATCATATGTTGTTTATAGTTGTGTTGGGAGAAGTTGACAAATGATTTCGAATTTTTAGGTTTTATGGCTTTGTTTTAGGCATATTGAAAAGTAACATTTACTAAATTTTTGCTTACTGATGGTTTTTGGTATTTCTTTTTGAATTAGCTTTATATTTGTTTCAATCTGGAACCCTACTTGTATTATGTCTTATCCTATTGATTTATGCTGCACCTTTATGGAATTATACTTTACCTCTGGGATTAGGTTCAAGCATAGCAAGAAGAAAAACAGAGTAGTGATCCACATGACTTTTGTGAACTCAAATTGTCTACTTGTTCACACCTTTTTTTTGCTAATTTTAATTTTTAACAATTATTCATTATATTTGGCAAATAATTACAGAATCAACACAAACTCACTCTTATACCAAAATTGGCCTATGCACTACAAAATAGAAATTTATAAGAACATAAAATTATTGTACTACAAATGAAAACTCAGAGTGCTATGAACGAAATTGATAACAAATTATATCTACAATCACATTTGAGCAGTTGGCACTTAAACTAACAAAATATACAAGTAGCTATTATTCTCCTTTATGACCCTTTAGGATCATAGGCACATCAAAAGCACATTGACACTGAAACAAAGTACACTGCGTATCTTACAATCACACACTACATATCTTACAGTCACACTTGAGCAGCTAAGCTCACTCAAAAAGTATTTATGGAGGCAAAGAAAGTAGAAGGAAACGTGGGGATATTTTGAAAGGTAAGTAAAGGCTTGAAAGGATGCTAGGTGCTCTTTCAAGTTTGTTTTCAACTCTGATTTTAAGAAGTAAGAAACCTCATTAAGCAGAGAATGGAGAAAGAGAGATGTTATAGGTTTCTTAATAAGATGAGTGGTGTCTTGTTGGAATTGCTTTGTAAAAGCACATTCTAAAACAAGGTCTTATAGATTATGGTGAAAGGACCATTATATATTCTGGCATCCTCTTATTTTCTATTGTTTTGAAGGTTTAGGTATTTTGAATTATTATTCATTGTTTTTTCTACTACACTTTCAAATGGCTTTAGCTTTTGTTGAAATTACTCAAACATGGCATCTTTTCTAGCATATTTAAGGGATGAAATTACAGGCTAAAGGTGGAAACAAAAACAAAGAAACAATCTAGTGTCAATCAAACAAAAAGTAAAAGCTACACCTTTAAAGGTAATGGTCTTAGGGGGTAAGACAGGCCAATAATCTTAGACATTATAGAAATTTTAAATCAAAAATAGAAAATCAATTGATGAGGTTAGAAGGAATTTTAGAGATGAATAAAAACAAGAAAAAGATTTTTACAAATGCTAATTAAAGAAATATACTTCTAATTAGGAGAACCATGTATAATAGATGTATAGGGAACCCTTTTAACAACTCTAGATGTCTCGAGAAAAGAAACACAAAAACAACGAAACACGCATACAAATAAAGAGGAAGAAACTGATGAATAAAAGAAATAAGCGAGATGAACTCTGATAATTTTGAAACAAAGTGGCAAAAAGAAACCTAAAATGTGTTCATAATATACCTTACTACTAATAAACACTTACTACTATCATAGAGTTAAAACTAATGCCAAATCCTTATCAAGTGTTTGCCAAATATGATGGACATAGAATAAGAGAATGGAACATAGATCAAGAGTGATAATGTAAGATATAGACTTTCAAAACAATTATAGAAGACAGATGAACTAATAATACATAAAACATAATCCTCTTATCTATAAAGAATTTCACTACAGTAAAAGCAAAACATCTCTTTTCCTCTATTTTCTACTTAAGGAGGATTATTTTCCTTATTCAAGCTAGGGCTGAATATAATATTTTCCTTATCCTTTCAAGTATTGCTGATTGCTTCTTGAAAATCTCCAAGCTTTCCTTTCTCTTCCTTGACTAATATTGAAAAGCAACATTTTAGCGTGCTTAAATGTGATCGTAAAATTTTTTTCCCAAAGCAGTCACGCTGTAATTTCTTTATATATAAAGAGAGAAATTCGAACGTTGTTCTTTGAGCAAGAGGAACAATACATACAAGCTTGTAATATCTTTAAACATTTAGTTGAGTTGTTATTGGAAAAAAAATATATATGTGTTGTCGTTGTAGTATTGTGTAAAGACTTTATGCCTTTAGTATTGTATATGGTTTACAGTGATGTAATTTTATGTTTGTAGTGCTTAAGTTAATATTGGAAGTAAAGCCAAATTTGCATTGAATCTATATTAACTTGCCAAAGTTAATCAATAAACAAGAATTGAAATAGAGAAACGCAATGCAAGCCAAGCCAAACGTGCAGTAGTATATAAGAGTTTACTATTTGAATAATATTGGCATTGAATTTTGATAAACAATTTGAACAATAGTAAAATGTTCGAATTGGTACTCAATTTTGAAATATATATTATTTGAATTAATAAATTGTCAATAAATTTGGTATTTGTAGCGAAAATTGTTGAATTGGTTTTCATTCAATAAAACATATAATATTTTATTTATGAAGAAAAACAGCACTTCATGCCCGCATAGACATGTATACCTTCATAGGTTAAAAGTATTTGAGGGGTAATTATCCTAATTTTCTAACCAAGAAAAAATAACCTTTTTTTTCCAAAGAAAAACATTTAACCAAAAGATACTTTTAACCTATTTTTGGTTAAATGTTACTTTATTTTGTAAAAAAAATAATTGAAAAGAATTTTTCAAGAAAATTAAATGAATAAACTGACTCTACTTGATTAATTCATTATTCAAGCTATGCTCAAGAAAAAAAATAAATAACCAATTAGAGAATAAATGAATAATAGCCCTTGAAATAAATATTACTTGGAGCTAAAGTAGAAGCCAAAGGTGTCAACCAGTTGAATCAAGCCAAATAAGGTTTGATTGGCTCTTTCGAAACATTAGAAATGCCTAGAGATTGAGACGAGTTAGATGAGGTTCGATTGATACTTTAAAAACCTTACTCAAGATCCAACCCCATTTGACCAATTAAATTCGATTATCATTCAAAAATATTAAATATATTTTAAAATTAAATTTAAATAAAAAATAGTTTTTTATTAATAAGATAATAATTCAAGTTGAATGGACATTAAAATCCATGCTTATCCTCAAGCCTAATCATGCTTAACCTACGAGTTAGACGAGTAACTCTACAGATGGATAAGTTTAATAGAAATTTATTTTACTAAATTAATCTATTTATTACCTTTGGGTTTTCAATTACGCTTTTAATTTAGTGAAGAAAATAATTAAATAACATTTAATCAAAAACAAAGTTAAAAGGGTTTAAATGTTTTATAAATTTCATTTATGAGGTGTTAGCCAGTCCTCACGATGTTGCTATGAAATTCATAGAAAAAATATTTTAAGAGTTTTAAGGCATAGAGCTTGTAGGTTGTAAGTGGGCTTGCCAACTCTTTTGCAAAAAAATAAATAAATAAATAAAATAAAAGTAAAAGAGTTAAAAAGTTAAAAAGTTTTTTTGTTAAATATTTTTTATTGAAAAAACATATTTTTTATAAGATAACTATTACCCAAAACTTTTGGACCAATGATAGCATGTCATATGTATGTACACATGAAAATTTTTTCCATGAGTTGGACATTAAATTTTTCACATGATATTACACGTATCAGAGTTCTTATTCTGTACTTAATACATGATATTACACAAATCAAAGTTTTCAGTTGGTGATGTGGCATGATTCTTATCATGATGTTGTACCAATTAGTGATGTGGCATGATTCTTATCATGTCACATCGAGAGCTTTTTGGAAACTCACCAGTCAGGCGCTTACCACCGAAGCACCCGCAAGTTTTTCATTCTTTCTATTTTGTTTTTGTTTTGGGGCAAATTTGCAAACAAAAGAATTGAAGGCATTGCCAGAGAATTATTATAGAAGCAATAAAACACTTGAATGCAGAATAATTTTTCTTAATGGAAATCCAAGACAGAGTAATTTATAATACAAATTTAATTCAAGTAATATCTGGAAAATTAAGGTTTACTTCAAGCAGAAATTTGTCCTTCGTAAGGGATATTAAGATCAAAATCTACGAACCTCTTAGGACGTTCTTGATAAGATTCTTCAGACGAATCAGCTTCTCCTGCGGACAATACCCCTGGCAACAGCATTCTGGTGATGTACTCTCTGACTTGACCACTTTCTTCAGACAATTCTTCTTTGGCTTTTCTCTTGACTAACTCGACCCTCAATGGATCAACAACTGGCTTCACCCGATGATACGTTTTGTGGCCACCAAGTGCCTGACCGGTTTGGAAAATCTTGCCACATATCTCACATTGGTGAACACTTTTCACCGCCTTTGCACGTTTAGGGTTCTTCAATCTTCTTTGGCTGGAGCTGGATTTGAACTTGTTAGAAACATGATTTTCAAACCCTTGAGGCATCATTGAGGTCTTTTCCGTACTATTGCCTAATAGGTCTAGTGTACTCTCGCTATCAGCAGCAGCTCCCACTTCAGACTCCATTAAGGCATCTTGATAGGACATGGTCTCTTCAGTCTTCTGCTTCTTCCTTGTAAACAAACTTTGGTTGATATCCTTTGAGTCTTCAAGTCTCCTTTCTGTCAGAGGAACAGCAAGTCCATAATAGACCCTCAAAGGCACCGCATGGTAAATTATGTTATCAATCTTGTCACTGACAGTTCTCTTCCGCCCTCTCTTACCAGTTTGAGACCAGCTGGGTATATCTTTCAGCAAATCTATGGAAGACCCCTGATGCAGATCATTCCTTGGAGAGATTGTGTCAATCCCTTCTTCGGCTTTAGCGGTCTCAGGTTCACTTAAAGAATTGCTTTCTTGGGACGGTATAGGCTGCTGAATACAATTGGAATCCATCTCACGATGGTTTCTCATATGCTGACACAATAACTTCATTGTTGAGAAACTGTCATCGCAAATAAAACAAGCGAAGCTATCGTCTTCTTCTTGGGGAGAGTGTTTCCTGGAAAGTTTCGTACTCTTCATGTGGTGAATTCCAGCTTTTGACTTAGCCTTATGCTGACTATGGATCCGAAGATGCCCTCCCAAGTCCTTGTCCGAGTTGAACTCTCGGCCGCAGTATCTAGTCCTTGAATCTTGGTATTGATGTAGGGCTTCATCACCTTTTTCTGTAAGCTTAATTTCCTTGGTGTTCAACTTTTGAGCCAAGAAATCTAAGGAAGCATCAGCAGGCACCATGGCCATGCTCTCAGTCTCACTCCAATCAGTTGGATCAAGCTCGTCTTCCTGACGATGATACATATGGAAAGAAAAGGAAAAGAAGATGAAAAGCAAACAACACTAATATCAGAAAGACGGCAGAGGTCGCAGAGGCAAGGGCAGAAGGAGTTGGTTTGGACTTCAGAGAAGCAAAAAGACTGACAGTGCGTATATATATACACAGAGTAGCATGCAGTAGAAGAGAAACCCTAAGCTGGTACAGAATTTTGACGATGGAAATTCGAGTTATTGTAGGATTTGGGGTTTTCTATTTTGATTGGAGTTTGATGAAACCTTGAGTGACAAGTAACTCAATTAAGTATTTTCTTAAAAACTTTACTTGTGTGTGAAGTAATCCAAAAATTAGTAAATCAAAAAATCAAGAGATTGATAAAGTGCTATGTATGGTTTTTAATCTCTAGATTTTTTTTTTTTTCAAATTCCAGTCGGTTTTTAACAATTACTTTTATTACTTGTGTTTTTTTCTTTTATATTTTATAAAAAATTGTTGTTAAATAAAAGCAAATCCAAATTTTTGAACAAATAATTAAAATGTAAAGTCACTTCTAAATGTAACTAATTTAAATGTATATGAGTAAAATGGAATTATATTTTGTTTTTAATAATAATTCAAAAAATAAAATTAAAGCTAAAAAATTAATTAAAAATAATTATTCATAAAATATATAATTTATATCATAAATATACTTGCATATGTAATTGATAAATTTTTATTTTGTAAAATAGTTAAATTTTATCATAATCGTATATTAATCTTTATGTTATCAAAAATATATTAATAACTTGAATTCTCTTTCCATTATATCAAAATATATATTATCTCCGGGTTTAAAATTTTCATCTTGTTATTATATATGTATAGGCATCTCCCTTCTTCGATTTCGTTTCCTTTTTTTTTTCTTCTTTTTTTTTTCACTTAATAATAATAATAATAATCCCTCAAAGTAAAATTTTTTTGTTGTTTTGAAGTTTATCATTTTGTATTTATATTTAAATTAGTGCATGTTTGATAATGCATTGATTATGTATGGCTGTATTTGATATACATGAAAAACAAAACTAATGTATTTTTTATTTATAAAAAGTTTAAATTTTTAACTTTTTTAAAAATATATTTATGTTAACACATTTTGTTAAATAAAAAACTAACAATCAATTTAATTGATCCTAATTATAGAAAATTTTTTTTAATGTTTAAGGTTGCTACAGTTTGAACTTTAATTACTAAAATTAAAACCTAACATTCTTCCAATAGATTACATGATTATTTATATAAAATTTTCTTTTATCTCATGATTTAGATGTTGTTATTGTACCATTAACAACTAATCAAATTTAATTTCATGGCCAAGCCCTACTCATGCCAATCACTAATACAAGCTTGTTTGATTCAAAGCAATTGATCTTAACAAGTAATAAGACTCTAAAATTTTCAAGTTTTGTTTTCTAGAAATGATAAATCTTGGGGAAAAAAAAGTAGAATTGAAAAATAATAAAAAGGTAGTGAAATAGGCATATCCAAATATTTAATGTAATGATAGGAATACGTATATCTGAACTTCAAAAAGTTTTAAAACTTCATACAGAATGGATATTATGAGGATATAAACGTGATAAAATCTCATCAATTAATCCTACTGAGATTAGAGTTTCTAAATTCTTTTCTGCTAGGGACATTCATTAACAACAGTTCATTTTTTATCTTGGTAAAATACTAATTAATCTAATTTAGTCAGATTATAATATTACCACCAATTTCTAACTGCAAATGGTTTAATTAGTTTTAACCAATTTTCTTGCATGGTTGGAAAACAAAATGTTAATGTATCCAAATGATGCAGCAGCTGCAGCTAACAAAGGCAATCTTTAATTGCCATAACCTACACATATATTTAATTCGGGGGGACTAATTAATTAATTATCATCTTAATTATTCCTGCTCCCACCATCTCCAACAATACTTTGTCACCATGGCCAACCGGACAGAGGTAATAAGCCTGAACATCTCGTCATTTTGGTTTACGGCCAAGCATTGTCTAATTTTCCCGATGATGTCGATATGTTGGTTTTCATTTTTATCAGCAAGATTTCATTGAGCATTCCATAAAATTTCATTGTCGATTTATAAAATAATAATTTCTCATAAAGTATCATTGAATTCATCAAAAATAATAATCATTCTATCACGCATGCAGTTCATCAAAACATTTTGTTTTTTTTTTCCTTAATCATGGTTTCAATCTGATTTATGAGAGTCAGAATCTCGCGGACAAAATTTTGAAAAAATAAGCCATATTATTAGTTGTTAAATCTACGTATAGTTGAACTCAGAACGAGAAGATATTAAACATATGGTAAGTTATTTCACATTGACAGAACAATGCATGGATGTCTGTTCCTCAATTTGGAGGGTGGGATCAGAAAGTTCCAGGGGCCACGGATTATTCAATGGTTTTCTCGCGAGCTCGTGCCAACAGGAAGCAACATAAGAGTGATGTTAGGTTTAGCCTTGGGAACGAGCAGGAGTTCGTTGCTGCTGATTCATTACCTCGACGACAAGAGGAAGAAGATTCTGTTACGGTAAGATTTTCATTTCACTAAAAGAATCCTGTTTTTGATCCTAAATCATCCATTAATTGCGCTACATACAACAGTTTAATACCAAGGATATAAGCCACCAAAATGTTTTACCACCAATTCATTAATAATTTTTTGTTAAGTGCAACAAACAATCATAATCATAAATAATATTTCAGATTCGTTAATTAAACAAATAAATCATGAATATAACAAAATTTGTTTATATTTAATTTATATATATATATATATTGAGGAATGTGAATGAAGAAAGCATTAAATGAATAATTTGTCAATTGACTCGATTTCTGTTTATTTATATTTATTTATTAAACTTAATAACCGATCACAGATAATAACAAAATTCATTCATATTCAATTCGTTTGTATTCATAATTTTGACTCTGATTAATTTGTAGTCCATAGAATGAATACCCAAATTCTGATTTATAATGTCATGCAGAAGAAAAAGAAGATCTTGACCTACATTAACTGCTGCATCAGGCCTTGATTCCCATATACCTGCCAGCCATGCAATCTCCAGATTTCCAGTCAATTTGAGCTGTAAATTTAAATATAAGGCATCTATCGGTGGGGGAAAAAGACAGGTGTTTAAGCTTTAAGCATGATTGCCCGTGTAAATATCCTTATTAGTATGTATAATTTCTTCTTCATACCGGATTGTAACCTGATTAAGAGCAATAGCACATGATAACTATATCAACTGGCTTCCAAAAGTTACCTACTCGTATGTTAGACCAGCTGTTGTCTTATGGTCGTATCTATTTTCTTCCCTCAAGCAAAAGAGAGTATCATTTCAATCTAAGTTGTGGACTTGAAGCACTTGAGTGAATAAGCAGCAATTAATTAATTAATTAAAGTAAAGAAAAACTATTAAATTGAATAATCCAAAAGCACCTGCTCCAATATTCATGATATATAATATAGGCCAATCATAAAGGAGGTGATTTCATCCTCATAACCAAAATGTAAAAGGAAAAAAAGAAATATAATAGTTCATTCAACTTCTAGCAGTTAATAATTCAATAATGGCTAAAAGTAGAGTTTTTATATGGAAAGAGCCGAATAAAGATTGAGTCATGCACCATACCTTTCTTTTTTCTTCTTATTGTACATTATTCCTATGTATTGAAATCCATATCACTTGATTAACATGCAAGGGTTTTTCAATTGGAGAACTATGCCTTTACAAGGAATTCTATGTGCTACTGCTTGAATTAGAGGAAAACAATAATAATATTGGTAATCCAATGAAACTTAAAATAGTGAAATATCCATTCCTAAATTTATTTTCTACAGATGCGAAAAATCATGACTAGCATTAATTGCTGTACTAGGAACCTGATGCCCAGTAAACCACCATTCTCCAAACTTTCTAACATTTAATGCTATAATCGGATTTCAGATTCTGGCTTGTAAATTGATAAATTTAGACTTTCTGTGATGAACTACAGAACACTTTAATATTTGAATATGATTATCATGTAACTGCACTCAGTGCACTTTTCTTTGTCATGCATATATTCTTTCTTCTAGAGTGGCAAAAAATGCATAAGTTAAACACATCTTGATTACTACATAGAAATACAAAGTTGAATTTATGTATGTTAATACAAACTGTTTCTGCATGAGCTATTTCATTTTCTTAGTTCAAACTCAAGAAGAGTAATTTTCCTTCTAATTTTATTTAAAATACAGTCAAATACTAGTACCTGCTATTTAAGATGCCAAAAAGCGTTTTACTGGAGCTTGGAGGGAAGATAGGTACTTAGCATCAGCCTTATCAACTCCATTGAAAAGATAACTGAAGGGAGGCATTTCTATATACCTTCCAGAACCAGGGACAACTTTTAGCTCATCATCTTGCCAAACAACTCTTCCTCCAGCTATTGTTACTTCAACCTTTCCCTGAGAAACCATATGAAAACCTTTCAACACCTAACATCACCCGTGTGCATACACAGAGAATCTTGGAATATAGATAATCCTAAAGTTTTATATATGGAGTATTGGAGAAATAAGTGGATAGGAAAATTTAAGGGGGAGAGAAAGAAGACAGTTAGGACCAAGTATCACTGCTAACATGACAAAAACCACAACTCAACATATCTTAGTTTACGAAGAGTGATCCTAAGCCATATGTAAAGCCTTCTTTCACCTTATAAGAACTAAAACAGTTGCAGTAAATGTATCACCATTTAGCATTATCATTCTGACAAGCTGATTTTTACAATCAAGATGTCAACAAAATCTTAATTTTATGGTCATTATTTGATGTTGGACTGATTAAGGACCTTATCAGGGTTGAAATAATTTATTAACATGTTTCAAGGAAAATTTTTTCTTTCACTTGATTAATAGAAAACTTTGTCATGTATGATTCTTTGAAGCTCTAAGGTTAACTTGGGTCTCTTATTAGTGTT